CGGCGCGATGACGCAGTGGTTAAGGTCCTCGCCTTGCACACCTGGGATCCCATATGGGCGCCGGTTCTAATCCCGGCAGCCCCGCTTCCCATCCAGCTCCCTGCCTGTGGCCCCGGGAAAGCAGTCGAGGACGGCCCCAAAGCTTTGGGACCCTGCACCCACATGGAGACCTGGAAGAGGCTCCTGGCTTCAGAGTGGCATAGCATTGGCCGTTGCGCTCACTTGGGGAGTGAATCATCGGACAGAAGATCTTCCTCTCTGTCTCTCCTTTCTGTATATCTGCCTTTCCAATAAAAATAAAATATTAAAAAAAAAAAAGAAAAGAAAAGAGTAGTAGTTAGAAGGCTGGCACATGGCCTAGTGGCTAAAGTCCTTTTCTTGAATGCGCCAGGATCCCATATGGGTGCCGGTTCTAATCCAGGCAGCCCCACTTCCCATCCAGCTCCCTGCTTGTGGCCTGGAAAAGCAGTGGAAGATGGGTCCACTGCCCAAGCTCCCACACCCATGTGGGAGACCCAGAAGAGCTCCTGGCTCCTGTGTTCTAATTGGCTGTTGTGGTCACTTGGGGAGTGAATCATTGGACAGAAGATCTTCCTCTCTGTCCTCTTTATATATATCTGACTTTGCAATAAAAATAAATAAATCTTTTTTTTTTTTTAAGTAGAGTTAGAGAAAGAGATCTCCCATTGCTGATTCACTTCCCAAATGGCTGCAACAACCAGAGTGGGCTGGTTTGAAGCCAGGAGCTCTTCCAGGTCCCCCATGTGGGTGTGGGAGCTTGAGCAGTGGGCCTGTCTTCCACTGCTTTTTCTGGCTGGAGATGTTATCTGCGATCGGAAGAGTTGTGGGTGGACACAGGCTGTGGGCTGTGCACTGACAGGATGCATGGAGCTCTGTGGGACCAGGTTCCATGACACGTCACACTGGATGCACCCAGCTCTAAAGGGAGGCCCTGGAGCATCAGCAGCCCATAGAGTGCTGGTTGGAGTGCTGCTGGCTCCAGTCCTTTCCAGCTCAGCTCTCCACCTGGGTGTCCCTGAGAATTCTATCTGGAACAGATTTCTCTCTGGAAATCTGTCTTTCCAATAAATGCAATCTTTTAAATAAGATTTGTTTATTATGAGAAAGGCAGATATACTGAGAGGAGGAGAGACAGAGAGGACGATCTTCCCATCTGTTGATTGACTCCCCAAGTGGCTGCAACAGCTGGAGCAGCGCCAATCTGAAGCCAGGAGCCTGGATCCTCTTCCAGGGTCTCCCACGCGGGTACAGGGTCCCAAGGCTTTGGGCCGTCATTGACTGCTTTCCCAGGCCACAAGCAGGGAGCAGGATGGGAGGTGGTGCTGCCGGGATTAGAACCGGCGCCCTATGGGTTCTCTGCGCATTCCAGGCGAGGACTTTAGCTGATAGGCCATGGCACTCTGCCCCAACAAAAGCAAATCTTTAAAAGAAGCCCCAGGGAGCATGTGTCTTTGGCTGGAGGTATCAGTCTGGTGGAGTGTCGGGGGTGCCAGCCCTGAAGGGCACAGGTGGCAGACTGATTGGATGTCTCTGCTGCAGATCGGGCCCGAGACACCGAGACAGATGAGATTGTCGCCCTCAAGAAGGTGCGGATGGACAAGGAGAAAGATGGTATGAATGCAACGGGCCTGGGACCTCAAGTTGGGAGGCTTGGAAAGGTGCCTGCCAGCTCTGTTCCCAGGACTGTGGAGGGGCTGTGTCCCTCGGGGCCTCAGCTCTGGGCATCCTCACTGGCTGCCCAGTGGTCCATCCTTTCTGCCCCTGTGCAGGTGGTACTTTCCCTTGCCTGCCTCTCTGCTGTGCTGCACGTTGTTCATGGCACCCTGAGGGCGGGGCTAGGGCGGGCCCACCTTCCTTCGTGGCACCCTGAGGGTGGGTGGGGGTTGGAGCAGGCCCACCTCCCCGCTGTGCTGCACCCCTGTCCGTGGCACCCTGAGGGCAGGGCGGGGGTTGGAGCAGGCCCACCTCCCCGCTGTGCTGCACCCCTGTCCGTGGCACCCTGAGGGCGGGCGGGGGGCCTCAGACCCTCTCCTTGCAGGCATTCCCATCAGCAGCCTGAGGGAGATCACGCTGCTGTTGCGTATGCGCCACCCCAACATCGTGGAGCTGAAGGAGGTGGTGGTGGGGAACCACCTGGAAAGGTGTGCCATGCAGCTTTGTCCCCTTCCTCTGTGGGCCGCTCCCCTTGCCTGGGCTGCCCACCCAGGAGAAGGTTCGGGGAAATGACTTCCTGTTTTTCTTCCAGCATTTTCCTGGTGATGGGTTACTGTGAGCAAGACCTGGCCAGCCTCCTGGAGAATATGCCCACACCCTTCTCTGAGGCCCAGGTGTGTGGGCTAGGGGCTCCTGGTGAGCTTTGCTGAGGTGGGGTTACTGTCTGTTGGGCTCCCATAGGATGCTGGGTCTCCAGGAGGCCCCAGAACTACATTTGGTCACGTGGGGGAAGGAGGCAACCCTACTGCCAGCCAGGTGGTGGCAGGGCCAAGCTCTCCTAGCTGGTGCCTCCCCTTACCCCTTGCACAGGTCAAGTGCATCGTCCTACAGGTGCTCCGGGGCCTCCAGTACCTGCACAGGAACTTCATCATACACAGGTGTGTGAGAGCAGGTGGGACGAGGCTGAGGTGTGTCTGAGGTGTCGTCTGTGTGATGAGCCAGATGGTGCTGGTTCCTGATACCAGGAGAAGTGGTCCCTGTAACAGCATGTTCTGAGTGCCCCGTGGGAGAGGGGAAGAGAGGGTGTGCTTAGCCCCCCCTGCACCCCAGGAAGACCATGGTAGGTGTGGGTGTGAGGCGGTGAGCAAGGTTGCCTTGGCATCCCGTTGCAGGGGCTGTGAAGGCCGGGCATTGGGTGGGGCCTGAGGGGTAGGGCAGGCTGGGTGTGAGCATCCATGCTGAAAGGCTGGGACACGAGGAAATGTGAGGGGCGCTTTCTGCAGCTGCTGTGAGCTCACTGCTGGGGTCAGCACCTTTTTCTCTCTGTCCCAGGGACCTGAAGGTGTCCAACCTGCTCATGACTGACAAGGGCTGTGTGAAGACAGGTGGGCGCCAGGTGCTCGCCCAGGGTCAGAGAGGGATCTTTGGGGTGGGCCATCCCCTTGAGCATGGCTGGCTCGTTTGCCTTTGAAACTAAGCTGACAGCTTGCTCCCTCTGCCTGTCTCAGCGGATTTTGGCCTTGCCCGAGCCTATGGGGTTCCAGTAAAGCCGATGACCCCCAAGGTGGTCACACTCTGGTGAGTTCCTGGGAGGGCTGGCTGGAGGCTGGGTCCGGGATGGCCAGGCTCTCAGAGCATGGGAGCTGGGCTTGATAAGCATGTCTGCATGAGCTGCCACCCCGCCTTGAACCCCCAGGAGGGGCTGTGGGATGCAGGTTGACCGCTGCTGTTCCTGTTGATGAGAGGCCATAGTTGCCCCCTGCCTCTCAGCCTGCCGCGGCCTCTGGTTCAAGTGACACCTGTGTGGTCACTGTCTTTACTCATCGGGGCTGTCCAAGCCAACTCCTGGGCAGGTGCCTGGTGGGCTGGAGGAGAGGCTGTTGAGGGAGACAGGTGCTTCTGTCCGCAGGTACCGGGCCCCTGAGCTACTCCTGGGAACCACCACCCAGACCACCAGCATTGACATGTGGTGAGAGAGGTTCCTCTTCCCAGGTCACCTGGTCCCCTAAGGCAGAGGCACGAGGGTTGGAGGGCGCTGAAGTGGGTATTTGTCAGCTTCCTGTTCCTAGGGAGGTAGGCCTGATCCTGGAAAACCAAAAGGAGGTATGAGAACAGCCCTGCTTACAGGCCAGTGCTGAGCTGCAGGGGTGACCTGTCCGTGGCCTGGCCTGGGGGCACCCAAGGGCCACCATGGGTACATTACAACAAGGCTGCTTGGGTCTCCAGGGCTGTGGGCTGCATCCTGGCCGAGCTGCTGGCCCATAAGCCCCTACTGCCTGGCACGTCAGAGATCCACCAGATTGACCTGATTGTACAGCTGCTGGGGACGCCCAACGAGAACATATGGCCGGTGCGTCCCCAGCCTTCCCTCCCCCGGGCCCGGCCTCACAGTGGCCCAGCTGGCTGGTGTGTCCCTGGATCCGGCCCCACGGCAGCCCAGCTGGCCGGTGCGTCCCCGGCCTTCCTTCCCCTGGGCCCAGCCCCACAGTGCTCTAAGCTTCTGCTCCCACAGGGCTTCTCCAAGCTGCCGCTGGTTGGCCAGTACAGCCTGAGGAAGCAGCCGTACAACCACCTGAAGCATAAGTTCCCATGGCTCTCGGAGGCCGGGCTGCGCCTGCTCAACTTCCTCTTCATGTATGATCCCAGGAAAAGGTGCTGACCCCACGCGTGGGCTCTGCTGCTTAGCAGGCTTCTCTGGTCTGGATTGGAGGCTGGGCCCTGGGTGCTGACGGCCACCTTTCTATAGAGCGACCGCCGGGGACTGTCTGGAGAGCTCCTACTTCAAGGAGAAGCCACTGCGTGAGTCCCCAGGCCCCTCGGGCTCCTCGGTCCTCAGTGGGTGGGCTCCTGGAGCCGTGCAGTGCAGTGGACTGTGGAGGGTGTGAAGACCCTTGGGGAAGGGGCCCCCAGAGGGGTCAGTCCCTCGTGTTGAGCTGAATTCAGACTGTAATGACGCCCCGCCACCCTCCCTGGAGCCCTGAAGTATCCGTCTGCCCACAGCCTGCGAGCCTGAGCTCATGCCCACCTTCCCCCACCACCGGAACAAGCGGGCAGCCACAGCTGAGGGCCAGAGCAAGCGATGCAAGCCCTGACCGCCAAGACCCTGACATACACCCTGCCCCCTGGCCCGCGGCTGCACTGTGAGCGGACCAGGTGTGGATGTGGAGTGACGCTGTAGCAGTGCGCCCTGGCCCTTCTGTGTGGGGTGAGACTGGCCTTGGACTCATGATTGGGTGGTGACCCAGGTGGGAAGGAGAGGCCAGGGTGCTGCTCACGCAGAGGCCTGTGTCTGTTTTGACGACCAAGATAAAAGCTCCCCTGACAAGTGTGGTTTCATTGTGTTTTAATGTGCCACAGACCTGGATGGGGTGTTCCAGGCGTTCCAGCAAGGGGCGGCGGGACACAGGAACACACTCGCCAATGGGGTCAGGGCAGTGCCAGCAGTCGGGCATCCATCTGCACCCCCCTGGTGGAGGGCTAGGGCAGAACCTCTGTTGACCTGCGGGTTACTGGGGGCTGCCCCGGTCCTGCTATGCCACCCCAGGAAGCAGTGGCTGCACAGACCCAGCACCAGCACTGAGCAAACGTCTGCCTCATGGGGTGGGCCTTGCAGTCTGCTTCCCCTCTGCTGGCCGTTGCCCATTCCCCACAGGCCTTGGACCTGGCACGTGACACCCAGGGCATGGTCATCTGTGCACCTGACCCAGGGGCAGGGGGCTCGAGGCCTCCCAGGGCCATAAGGAAGCCCCTGTGTGATATCCCTGGATATTTTAAGAAGTCCAGGCCTGCAGCTCTGAGGACAGGGTCCTTGAGGGAGGGGGGTTTGGATCCTGTGACAGACATGGGCACGTTGGGGCCCAAGTCTAAGTGCTGAGGACTGGACATGTGAAAGGAGCCTGCAGGGCCAGTGCAAGGCCTGTCCCCAGGAGGAGCTTTCTGTGGCAGGCATAGCGGCCCCACCAGAGCCCCCCTCTGTGCCATGCAGCAGACCCAATACCAGAAGAAGCACCACGGAGGCTCCTGAGAGCCCCAGGCCAGCACCCAGAGGAGCTTAGGGCCGGGCGCCAGGGCTGTCGTAGAGCAAGGTGTCCACCTGAGCACGCTGCAGCCACAGGCGCCTCTGGGTGTCACCCAGCAACACACGCAGTGAGTGGGTTGGGCGGCAGCTGGGCAGGGCTGCACAGTGGGCAGCATGCAGCTGGCGGCAGGTGTCACAGCACAGGGTGGGCAGAGCGCCAGGGGTTAGGCAGCTGTGTGTCTGGTATCCTGGGAGCTCGGGGACAGGCCCGTAGGCAGAGGCCGGTGTCCTCTCAGCCTCCAGGTGCCTGGGACTGGCCCTGCCCGGGCTCTTGGGGCCTTCGGGAACAGGCCGGCTCAGCTCATGACGGAGTGAGAGGAAGGAGAAGGTGGAGGACTCTGGCTCCAGCTCTTCCTCCAGGGCCCCATAGGGCGGGCTGCCCACCTGGGTGAGCTCCTCAGCCTGGGATTCCCAGTTTGGGCCCCCAGTGCCCCACAGTTTGGCACTCTGCTCCCAGAGTGGTGGCCTGTAGGCCAGCTCCACTGGGGGTGAGTCTGGACCTGGGGAGGGTCCACCATAAAGACTGGCCTCCTCTGAGCCTTCGTCCTCCTGCAAGTCCCGGTACAGGTCCAGGGGGGCTCCATATGCAGAAGGGGTGCCCCTTGGAGGCAGTGGTGGCGGCTCTTCATCCTGGGCCAGCCGCTGCTGCAGCCAAGCCACACAGGAGGCCACGTCCCCACTGGCCCGCCGTGCCTGCAGCAGCTCCTCGGCTGGCAGCACACTCGTGCCCAGTTGGGCCAGCACCTCGCTCAGGATCTCACACTCCAGGCGGAGAGCGAAGCAGCCCAGAGCCACCTGTACCAGCTGCTGGGCTGGAGGCAGGGCTGCCACCATGAGACGGTGGTCATCCCTCCGCACGTAGCCCATCTTCTGGAAGCTCTTGGTCAGCAGGTCCTCCGAGAGCACAGCCTTCAGCACGTGCACGTAGCCGCCTGAGAAAGTCTGCAAGGAGGGACACGGTCAGCCACGGCCAGCCGCCTGGGCTGACAGCTGGCCGCCCCCGGGGTCCAGACAGCAAGCTAAGAGCTAAGAAAATGGCCCCACACACCAGAAGAAAAACAGTCCCGGTCTCCCGCACCCCAAGTCCAGATGTTTGGTTACACAAACGCAAACATGGGCTCTCACTAGACTGGGTTTTATCAGCCTCACAGGTGAGGGGCCAGGCGTGGCAGGGCAGTGATGAGAGCTGGGACAGCTAGGCACGTCTCCCCATCTGTGGCCCAGCAGGTTTAGAAAGATGAGGACCTGTCCAAATGCAGACAGCCCAGTGTGGGCAGAGAGCCAGGCCCTGAGCCAACTGTGCTTAGTGCCAAGCCTGGCACAGGATCTCTGTTCTGTGGCTCCCACAAGGCGGGTCTTCCGTGAGCCAATGAACTAGTGATGGAAGACCATGCCAGCCAGCAGGTGTCCTGCCTCAGCAGCAGAATTAAGTACAGCTGCCATAGCAACCGTGGGGGCGGACCTCGCCCACGTGCGCAGTGACATCACCACCGCCCTACTCTTCCCAATTAGCTCAGTCTCAGCAGCTCTGCCCCCACGTGCTGGCCAGCAGCTGCCAGAGCGGCCAGGCCACCCTTTCCACAGCGTCGGATCCAGGATGGCAGAGGAAACTAGCTGGGTGCCTGGCACTTACATAGGAGGCCAGCCTCAGTTCCTGGAGGAGTTAACATGGCATAGGGACGTTTAAGTTCCGCCCACTCTTGCACTAGGGTTTCCATGGCAACTGTGCCCGGAGGTCACTTAGGGCAGTGATGCCAACTTGGTGGGTCAGGTGAGCACCTAAGCCCGCTGCTTTCCACCCGTGTTCTTCCCAGGGCCACCGAGGTAGACCTCGACGCGCCCACAGCCCCTCCGTGTTCTGAGTTTGGCGAGGCCTAAGGATCCTAAAGACGCCGGGCACCCCACTCCCGCGGGGGCCAGCCCCCCACCCCCAGCAGGCCGGGCTGAGGCCCTGTGACCGGTCTGCCCCGCTGCTCGCCTTGATGGTGGTGAACTCCTTTCTCCAGGGCAGCAGGTACAGGTGCACGGCGGCCAGCTCCAGCAGCTCGAAGGCGCGGGCCAGGCTGCGCAGCGCGGGCGCCAAGTCGGCGCGGCCCCACAGCCCGTCGGTGAGCAGCGCAAGCGCGTCGTCCTGCAGCGCGCCGTGCAGGTCGAAGTCCTCCACCAGGATGTGCCAGAGCACGGCGCGCAGCGAGGGGTCCCCGCACACGCCCGCGCGGCCCCGCCGCAGCTCGCGCTCCAGGCACAGGCGGTAGTCCTCGGACAGCGAGCTGCTGCCCATCCTGGCGGCAAGAGCACGCAGTGAGGACGCGGACACCGCGCCCCGTCCGCCGCACGTCCCCAGCACCCGCAGCCCACCCTCAGGCTGGCAGCCCTGGGCCCGGCCCGCGCGCTCCTGGCCAGCCGAGCGCGCAGCCCCTGCACGAAGGCGCTACCTGTGTGCGCCCCGGGTCCGGGAGCCGCCGCCGCTCGCTCCGGCCTCCTTCCCGGCGCGCTTCCGCAGGGCCCGGCTCCGCCCTCAGGCCTCGGCCGTGACGCCAGGGGCGGGGCGTCAGGTTCGGGCCCGAGAAAGGCGAGGGCGGACGCGGCGCCCCGTCTCCACCGGCTCCTGTCAGCCGCCGTGCCCTGCGCTCGTCCTTCCCGCAGACCTGTCCGAGCTGCCGCGACGCGCGCAAGGTGGGCTCCCTCACCGCCGTTCGTCCGCCTGGGGTGGACGTTTGCGCCTCGCGGCGACTAGTGACGGGCGCGTGGAAGGGCGAGCCCACGGTTGGAGCTTGCAAGGAGGTCGCGGCAGGGCGCTCTGGCCTTCGGCGGAGCCGCTCTCAACCGGGACAGGTCAGCGGCAGGACAGGGATGAGCTGTCGCGCAGGGAGGGCGTTTGTGAGCCCCCTCGCTCCCCGGGCCCGCGTGTGAGGAGGACCCGGCATTGCCAAGGAGACAGCTGTGTGAGCCAGCAGGCAGGTCCGGGCAGCGAGTGGAGCAGTGGTTAAGGCGCTGCTCTAGGGCCTGGGTTGAATCCCAGCTCCATTTCCTGCTAGGGAGAACCCCGGGAGGCCCTGGTGATGGGTCACTGCTGCCACGTGGAAAACCCAGGTGGGACTTCCGGCCCCTATTGCTGGCTTTTGGGGAGTGTCCCCCATTGTGGGGTGGTGTGTTGCAGCACTGCAGCAGCAGGCACCCTGTTTGGGGTTTCTACCCTGCAAATTGACAGTGAATGAACCCTGTAAGCCACCATAAATTGTTTTGACGGCCTTCACCAGACTGCAGTGTACACAAATGTACAGAGAGGTCTGCCCAGAGCGACTGGGCAACCCACCTGGTGCCACAGGACAGACAAGCCACCCTGGAGCCCAGTCCCCAGGCAGCCACTGTGTGTTCCAGGTGGTGGTTTAGCCTGGGAGCTGCTAAGACCACTACACTACACCACAGGCGTCTCCATCCTCCTGTGGACCTTGGAAAGCCCCGGTGGAGGCAGCCGGGATGGCTACCTCTTCCCCTGGGTCTCAGATGTGTGTGCTGGGTCAGAGGCCATCACAGATGGCCTGCTGGGTCTCTGTCCCTCCCTCACAACTCACAGTGAACTCTACCTCCCCTGGCATTGGCAGTTTGTCCAGCTGCTGCCAGCCTGGTGGCTCTCAAATTGGGTCTTGTAATTCCTTGCTCTTGGTCTGCACTGCCAGCAGCCTCCAGGGTCCTGAACGCAGCCTCAGTGCTCCCCTCAGGGTGGGCTCCGGAAAGCCAAGCCCACTGGCACTTCCCACATCAGGATCTGCTCCAGGAAGTGGGGTTTCAAGACAGGAAGGCCGGTGGCAGGGGTCACCACTCCGCCCTGCCAGGACTCACATCCCGGGCCAGGAGCTCGGATTCTGTGGCTCAGAGTGCAGGTAAGCCTTCCTCCTGCGGGCCCACAGGGCTTGGGTTGCAGAGGACAGCTTCACAATGCAGGGCAGGTGGCTGGGAGTCCTGAGGGTCTCCGGCTTGACCCCCTCAAGGGCAGCAGCCCAGTCCCGGACATCCATGGTACAGGCTGGCTGCTGGTGTGTCTGGGTCCGACCAGCTCTGCCATCCCCTCAGAGCTGCTGCTGCCACCTTGCCACAGGGCCCATACACCCGAAGCCCTTCCTCTCCTACCCTGTCCAGGATTCCCTGGCAGGTGCTATCCAAGCCTGTCTGCTTACCCTTCTCCAGAGGACCCCACACCACCCTGGGGCAGGGCACCTCTGCCCAAGCCACTTTCTGTGAAACAAAGACTCCTGGGAGGTCCTCATGTGTGACCTCCAACCCTGGCTCCCTGGTGAAGGGCCTGCAGGGAGAAGCACACAGCTGCCAGGCCAGGCACAGCCCAGAAGGCCATGGTCCCCTCATCTGTCATAGGGTTGCTGTGGTGGTCAGCCATGGGACAGCTCAGGAAGGCACCCCTGGGTGGACGGTTGCCATGATGGGACAGCCCAGGAAGGCAGCACTGGATGGACAGTCACCTTGGTGGGCAGCCGTGGGACAGCCCAGGAAGGCACCCCTGGGTGGGCAGTCACCTTGGTGGGCAGCCATGGGACAGCCCAGGAAGGCACCCCTGGGTGGACAGTTGCCATGGTGGGACAGCCCAGGAAGGCAGTGCTGGATGGGCAGTTGCTGTGGGACAGCCCAGGAAGCCTGCACCTCATCTTGGTGTCAGCTGGGATGACCCCAGCACCAGGGACGGAGTGAGCCACACAGCCAGACAGTAGTACCTTTTTATTTGTGTTAGGCTGAACCGGCAGTCACGTGGATGTGAACAGCAAGGCGCTGCTGAGCCCGGGGCTCAGCTGAGGGCAGGAGTTGGCCAGGAGTATCGTAGTGTGTACTGCTCACTGCCAGGGCGAGTCAGGGCAGAGAATATCCTAGGCCTAGGGTGGGGATGCGGCTCAGGAACCCCAGGCCCAGGCCAGTGTAGGTGAGCTGGGCAGCCACTGCCCAGTCAAGAAGCAGCATAGTGTGGCAGGCTCTGCACCCTGACTCCAATGGAAATTGCCTATAGGCATGTACTTCCCAAGGGTGGCATGGTAGGTGGTACAAACCAGAGCCTTCCTGACATTCACAGGGCCCAGGCCCAGCCAGATGCTCACCCACCACTGCAGGCCCCAGGGAGATGGCAGCCCCGGGCCGCCTCACAGAACCCGTGTTCTGCTGGGAACTGCTATGTCCCCATCTTGTTGAATGAAGAGGCACCACCCCAGACCTCTGGGGCTGATGCAAGGAGAGGCAGAGGGCTGGAACCAGAGGGCCCACCATGCTGCCCTGCCCCAGCACCAGGTGTCCAGGCCAGCGGGAGCTCCCTGACAGTCCTCAGGAGCACTGAGGCTGGGTGCCCTGGGGCAGCAGCTCCACGTAGCTCAGGGCACTCTGCAGGGAGGTTAGGCAGTAACCCTCCTCGCCGATCAAGTACCTGTGTGCAGGCAGGAGCAGGGTTCCCGTCAGCTGGAGGGTCTGTTCTCACAGGGCACGGACTAGGGCATGTGAGAGTTGCACGGGGGAGTGGGGAAGGCCCTTGAGCAGCAAGAGGCCCCAGCCCAGACATGCTGCCCCCAGCACCGCTCTGTCAGGTGTGCTGGCCACAGGCCATGGGACACGCTGACTGGGCAGCCCCTATGCGCGAGGTACTGGCAGCCACTGTGTGCTGGCTCCACCCTAGGCCCGGGTGCTTACCCCTCGTGGATGAATTCCTCCAGGGCCGCACACTCGGACACCAGCTGTGGGAGCCCACTCCTCAACACCACGAAGGACAAGATGGGCAGCAGGTCATCAGCACCACTGCAGGTAGCAACAGCAGCTGCTGAGCTTGACCTCAGCGGCCTTGGCCTTGCCGGTAGCTCTCCCCGCTCCCCTCAGCCAGTGGGTACGCAGCTGTGGCTGTCTGATGGGGATTCTGTGTGCAGAGTGGGGACTGGGCCAGTGGCAGCCCCTCCCACTCCAGGCTGCACAGATCCCAAGGGGACCCGGGTGGGATGGTATAGGGAGACTTCCATCCACAGCTCACTCGCTCCCCAGGGGAGAGGGGCAGCTCACGCTGGGAGGCTTGGTTAGGGGTCACTCAGCTCTGAACTAGGCCCACAGACTTGCTGCAGGCAAAGAGGAAGTGAGACACTCAAGATACAGGCTGGCCAGGGCTCGGACACATTCAGCTCTGGTGGTCTCATGCGGCAGATGAAGAGCGAGGCGGAAGCCAGGCCAGCTTGGCCAGCCTCTTCCTACCAGACTCTGCAGCTGAGGGCCTGGTGGTGGGAAGCAGACTGGCCATAGGCTCGGCTCTGGCTTCTTGCCACCTGTGCCCTGCAGGCTCCTGCCCAGGTGTTCCTAGGGCTCAGCCCGCCCGTGAGAGGCAGGGCCTGTGTAGTGCTGAGAAGGCAGAGCAGGGCAGAGAGGTCAAGGCACTGGGCCAGAGGCAGCAGGAGCCAGACCAGGAACAGCGGAGGGATAGGCAGGGATTTGCTGGCAGTGGCCTTACAGCAGAGGGTCTGCAGCCCCCTCCAGGAGAGCCCCTGGGCACCCCTGGAGGGACTGTGTGGTCATGGCAGCTGCAGTATGGTTTGGGTTAGCAGGACTGCCCCTCACAAGGCAGGCCCCACACACTTGCCCCAGGGGACTCACATGGCAGCAGAGGCTGGGGGCTGCGGTGTGGTGTCTGGAGTGGCCTCCTGGGCACGGCAGTAGTCTTCGGCACAAACACAGATGGCCCGCAGAGCCCGCACTGCGGCACACAGAAGGGCTTCAGGTGGGAGCAGGTCCTGCTTGCGGCTGTGGGCTCCCCATGCCCCCTCCCTGGCCTCACCAATGCACTCCAGCTTCTTCTGGGGGCAGCTCTCCAAGACCAGCAGCCCTAGCTCCTGGGTTGCTGTACTGTAGGGGTAGGCAGTAGCCCCCTTGGCCTGGGGGTCCCTGGGCAGGAGTTTGGTGGGGATGCCAATGGCTGTGGGTGGTGCGTTCCTGTACAGCTCCATGCTCCTGCCCAGTGCCTCCTCCCGGCCACGGTGCACACTCCTGGGGTGGAGAAGCCACACTCAGCTGCCTGGGCCCATGTCTGAGGGTTCCAGACCCGTCCCAAGCCACGGCCCACTTGTCCCAGTCACAGCCAACTGGAAACACAAGGCTGACCTCCCAGTGAACAGATGTGAGCCAGAGACTGGAGCAGGCCCTGGGGACACAGGACCCGGGAACACCAGGTTATGTGGGTGGGTGGCCGGCTAAGTGGCAGCCCAGCCTGTACCTGTAGAGGGCCAGGAGCAGGGGCCAGAGTGGGGAGAAGAAGGGCTCTTCCAGGCACGCCAGGCAGCGGTCCCTGCAGGCAGCTGTATTCAGGCTCTCGAAGGCCAGCAGGGTCAGGGATAGCAACCTGTCTGCCAGGAGCAGGGCCAGCAGTGTCATCAGGATCTTCATCCAGGCCCTCAGGGAGAGGTGCAGCCTGGCCCTTCCCCAGCTGGCCTTCAGGCACCGCCCCCCCGGCCCACCTTGCCTGTACTGTGTGGCTTGGGATTGGGGCAGGGCACTGTGGACCACAGCTGGCCTGCTCCTGCTCTCTGGGGGCCAGGACCACCTGCTGCCCAGAGGCTCTCACAGCCAGACCCTCCCCAGGGAGAACGCTGAGAGCCCTGAGGGCTCAGCTGGTGAGGGCCTGGAGGGAAGCCCTGGGCTTGCACGCCAGCCTCTACTGTCCTGGGAACCAGCGCCTGCTCTGCCAGCAGTGCCTGGGCCTCACCGATGGCATTGTGGATGTCCTTCACAGTGCTCTGCAGCCGTTCTGCCAGGGGCTCTCTTTTCCCTGCTGCGGGCCGTGGCTCAGGCTGCCCAGCAGGGCTTGGGCCCCATCTCTCAGGTGTGGCCAAGAACTGCTCCAGGTCCTCGAAGGAGCCGTCCTTGTCCGGCAGGCGGGAGGAGGCATCCGGGGAAGGTGAGGGGGGCCCCGCAGGGCTGATGTCTGCCTCCCTGTCTGGGGGGCCAGGATGGAGTGGGGGTATGGGAGGAGTGGCGGGGGGGCCGTCCTGGGGCCTTGGGGCTGTGCTGGGCTCTGCAGGGGATAGCATGCAGTAGAGGCTCTGTGACGCCCGCAGCCGTCGGCTCCCGGGAGCCAGGAGCCCGTCCGTGTCTGGGGGCAGAGAGCAGCAGCCTGGGGTGGGTGTGGCGCCGGCAGCAGCCCTGCTCACGACGGGGTACAGCGTGCTATACACGGCGCACTGGAGCCTCTTCAGGAGCTGCGAGATGGGATGGTCAGGGAGGCTGCAAGGAGGGCAGCGGCTGGCAGGGAGGAGGCTGCAGGCACAACTGCTTACCCTGCCCTGGCTCCTCAGCAGGCAACAGGAGGCCCGGCCCTCCACCCCTGCCCTGGCGCCTCAGCAGGCAACGTGAGTTCCGGGGCCGCCCATGAAAGCTATAGGGGCCACATCTCCCCACTGCCTGTGACCCGGGCTAAGAACCTGGCCCTGGCTTATTACTGACCTCACACTTCTGAACTTCGGGCCCACACCTGTGACTTCCACATGTCCATAAAATGGTCCCTCCAGGAAAGAGTCCCATGAAGGGACTTGAGCGTTGTTTCCTGCATGGGATGTGGCCTCAGCCCTACAAAGGGGCTTAGAAGGAAGCCAGAGGGAAACCAGCTAGGCAAGGGCAGCCGTGGCACTAGCCAGTGTCTGAGCCCATGGCCCCAGCCTGCTACACACCTAGCCATCCTGAGGAACTTCCATGCTTTCTAAGCCCGCTCCACATTACTCAACAAGCAGGTGCACAGCCCAAGACCGATGGATGGAGGCTCAGGCTGGGGAGCAGGTACCTGAGCAGGTGGGAGACCAGACTGGTCACTAGTGACAAGTCCCCTGGGCTCCTCTTGAGCTTGGCTCTCCACTGCTTCGGCCAGTCCTGCAAGACAGGGGCCCCCACACTGGGACCCTCATCCCCAGGCAAGGTGGCAGGGAGCTTCCCTGGGGTGCAGGGAGAACCCAGCCCCACAGGGCTCCACGGCCATGACCACTCCCCCCGTGTCCCCCAGACTCACGTGGTCTTGCTCATACTCAAGGATGGCAGCAAAGAGGGCCCGCTGCTCCCGCTCCTCTGGTGTCTGGGCTACCTGGCTACAGAACCTCCTGCGGAGCAAGGGCAAGCTGGGGGTGCAGGGCTGGGCCTGGAGGGGGAACCCCTACTAGTCCTCCCTCACAGTGCCCCAGATATGGGCAAAAACACACCTGTTGGCGGCCTCCTGGAGTCGAAGGCGGCGTTCCTGCATCTTCCTCTGGAGCTGTGGCACGGAGTCAAGGGCTGGCAGTGTCTGGGCCGAGGAACCGTGACGGGGGACTGGCGGTGTCTGGGCCGAGGGACCGTGTCGGGGGGCTGGCGGTGTCTGGGCCGAGGGACCGTGTCGGGGGGCTGGCGGTGTCTGGGCCGAGGGACCGTGTCGGGGGGCTGGCGGTGTCTGGGCCGAGGGACCGTGTCGGGGGGCTGGCGGTGTCTGGGCCGAGGGACCGTGTCGGGGGGCTGGTGGTGTCTGGGCCGAGGTTTTATCCCACCCTGCCTCACCCCATCTGCAAGATACAGCCCAGGTTGGGCTCCACGGAGCAAGAGTGGGCACCAACTCTGGGAAAGTGGACTTCAAGGGTAGGGAATTCAAGTAGGGGGACAGTGTGGGCAAGAGGAATTCTGGCCCCGCCCCATTCCCTGTCCCCCACTCTGCCCCCAGCCACACTCAGAAGGGTGCTGTCTCCTCCCGTGCCTTGGCAATCACCAGGTTCTCCATCATCTGCCGCTGCAAAGACAGGGTCTGGGGGCATGGACAGCAGTGAGTGCCCCCTGCCCCACCCTGCCCCGGTCCCCTTCGGCCCCCTCAGGCCCTGCTCACCAGCGATGTCTTCTGTGTGGCCTGGCTGGGGTCTAGCCGTGCCATTCGGGCCTCATATGCAGCCTTGAGCTTCTGGTTCTGCAGGGAGGCCTCCTCCAGCGGCGTCAGCTCCCTGGAAATGGGGTCAGGCTACCAGTCTGGCCCCAGAGGAGCCTCCCTCTCATTTCCCAAACCCATTCCGAGGTGAGGGTGGTAGAGGAGGGGGGCAGTCCTGGGGCTGCAGGCCATGGTACTGCCAGGTCTCCACCTGCCACAAGAAGCTGGGCACTGGACTGTCCTGAGAGCCAGTTAGACCACCCTGGACAATGACAAGCACTGTGAAGGCGTATTATGGGCTGTACAGCTAGGACAGTTTGTGACTTGGGAGAGGCAGCGTGTCTCCAGTGGCCACTGTGTGGCACTTGAAGGCCGTCTCGCTCACACCTCCTGCCTTCTGGGATTGGAAGAGAGGGGCTGTGAGGAGATGGGGCCAGCAGGGATGTGGTGGAGGTGGCCCTGCTTTGAGCTACTCAGGCTCCTGTGGGCTTCTGGCCTGTGTCATGCTCTTCAATCACTTCTAGACAAGCATCTGGAATCATCCGGGCTTCTTTCTCCCCTTTTCCCAGAATTCCAAAAAACTTGTGAGGCATTGCACCCTCATCTCCTCTGCGTCCCTTACTACTTTCCTATATCTTGTATTTATATATTTCATAGATGTGTGTGTACATGTTTATTGTGGCTTGTTTTGGTGATGCCTTCTGGAAACTTCTGATCTGTTTCTGAATTCATGGATTCTGTCTTTTGCTACTTCTACTTTGCTGCTACAACTCATCTACCCATCTTCCGTATATTTGTGTAGGTTCCTACTGAAGAATATAATTTATGCTTTAAAAAGATTTCATTTAGGCACCAGCACAATGGCTCAATTGACTAACCCTTCACTGCAAGTGCTGGGATCCCATAGAGGCGCTGGTTCATGTCCCAGCTGCTTTACTTTCCATCCAGCTACTGGGCCTGGTGAGGTAGCTTAGTGGCTAAAGTACTCGCCTTGTATGCCCGGAATCCCATATGGCTGCCATTTCATGTCCTGACAGCTCCACTTCCCATCCAGCTTCCTGCTTGTGGCCTGGGAAAGCAGTTGAGGACGACACAAAGCTTTGGGACCCTACACCTTGTGGAAGATTGGGAAGAGGCTCCCGACTTGACAGCTCAGCTCCGGCCATTGTGGCCACTTGGGGAGTGAACCAGCAGACGGAGAGATCTTTCTGTCTCTCGCTCTGCATGTCTACCTTTCCAATAAAAAATAAATACATCTTTTTAAAAAAATTACGTAATTTTAATTCATTTTAAAGGCATAGAGCATCTCTCATCTCTTGGCTCATTCTTCAAATGTCCCAATAGTTGGGGCCAGGGCGGGTGGAAGGCAAGAGCCTAGAACTCAGTTCCTGTGTCTCATGTGGGTGGCATGGTCTGCAGTGTGAGAGCCATGAGCACTGCTGCCTCCCAGGGTGTCCGTCAGTGGAAACTGGAATTGGAAGACACGGGTGACTCCAGCGGGCATTCCCGTGTGTCACGTGATTATCTCCTGTGCTGCACCAGTTGCCCAAACTATTTTTATTTGTTTGTTTGGGTCTTGGGAGAAAAGGTATGTGCTGCCTACTGATTTATTTCCTAAGTGTCTGCCGGGCAGAGCCAGAACCAGAGCAAGGTGCCAGGCACCGTGTCCAGGTCCCCCTTGACTTGCACCATCACTGTGGCCTCCCTGGTTTTGCACTAGCCAGAAGCTGGGGACTAGAGCTGGAGTTGCATAGAGGGGACGGGGGGCGGAGGGCGAGTCTCTGAACTAGTGGAATTCCTGATTCCCACTGGTCTCCGAAGAGTAACTGCAGCAGCACTGTTCTGTGTTTTTTTTCTGGGGTAGGCTCTAGTTTTGCTGACTTCTTGCCATCACCCCTCCACCTCTTGCTCCCTACACCGGTCTAGTCTGACTTCCCTGCTGCTCTCTGGTCAAAGGGGATGGTGCCCACTTGGGACCCCAGGCACTGGGTCCACTGCTGCCAGCTCCAAACCCAGCCCCTTGGCCCTGGGCCCGCACTCCCCCGACTTACTTCTTAGAGCTGTGCACCTCAACCGCCTGGAGTCTCTGGAAGATTTCGGGGGGCAGGAAGGGAAACAGCTTCCCTCCTTCATCTGAGCACACACGGCGGTGTCGGCTGGGAGCACAGGGGCTGGGCGTAGCCACAGGTGGGGCTGGCTTCAGGGACGGCTTGCCTGTGAGCCAGACAGACACAGCTAGGGGTCACCAAGAGGAGGTGTGGATGTGGGGCCACGCCGCAGAGTGTCCAGGGACCCACCAAGCTTGGCTGCTGTCGACTGGGCCCGCTCCAGACACTGCTCAGCCAGCTTCAGCATCTTTGAGGTGTCGGGGGGCATGGTGCCCCCAGCTTCTGGGGGGCGGACAGGAGGGTTGGTCACAGCCAGCTCTGTGGTAGGATCAACGTGACGGGGTAGAGAGGCTGGGCAAGCCTAGCCCACAGTGTCTCCTGCCTAGGGCTCCCCTTGACCCCTTGAGTGTCCTGATACCTCTTGGGGGGGTCTTGCTTATGTGATAGCTCCTCCTGAAGAAGGGCATCCATGGGGCCAGGGGCCGGGCAAAGCTATGCCAAGGGGTCCTCTTGCATGCCCACCTGCCAGCCCTGCACTATGCACCCCTCCGTCCACACCCTGCCCTCACCCATCCCACCAGCACTCCCCCTTGGGTCTCCTCTGCCACCTACCACCTGAGGCGCAGGGCTTAGCTCCAGCTTTGCTTGTGCTTATGTGCCTGTACCAGGGTGGGACTCTCCCCTCACAAGGCTGCTCCTGCCCCCACCTGCCACTGGCAGCAGCCCCACTCCTGGCTGGTTTTCACATCATCCTGGCTGCCCCCATCGGGCCCAGAATCTAGGAAAAGGTTCTCAAAGACCTGCCAGCCCCACATCCCTCAGGACCTCTGCACATGCTATGCTCGGTACACCCCAGACACCCAGTGAGTGTGCACAATGCATACCCACCCAGTGTCTACACCACCAACACTTGTCCACCCCTGACACTGTCCTATTGGTCCACCTTCTGCTATTGACCAGGCTGCAAGAACATGAGCCTGCCCTTGTCTGGGACCAGTGCCTGGCCCAGGAGCTGAGGCAGAGCCGTACCCCCGGTCGTCTCTATTTCTTCCAGCAGCACCTGCGAGATGTAGTGGATGCTTCTCAGGTATTCCGTGTACGCCTCCTATGGTGGGAACATAGCAGGCATCAGGCAGTGGAAGGAGCCCTGCTGGGCAACCCTCCGAGGCCGCATCAGCCATGCCCTGCCCAGCACAGCACAGGTGGCAGCCAGGGAGGGCAGTGAACACCTACTCTCCCCTCGCTGCCAGGGCCAGACAGTCTCCCTGGGCAGTGGCCAGCATTTGTTTTCCGTATGGTCTCAGGAGACCACTGGCGGCTTTAAAAGAGACTCCCTGAGAGGCGAGGCAGGTGGCGATCCCTTCCTTTGCCTGGGTTGAGGGTCCCCCAACTCTCCCCAGCGCCGCAGGGACACTTAGAAGAATGACAAAGTGACTTCCAGGCGGGACTTCTGCTTCACAGGGGCAGAACTGGGAGCAGGGCTGCCTTTGCCCTGGCCACTGGCTGGCTGGGCTGGGCAGCCACGCTCCAGGGCTGGCAGCTGGAGCGGACACGTCAGGCGCTGACCCTCGAGGTCACCACACAGTGGGCGCTGTCCAACGTCAGGACCAACCCCGCGATCTGCTGGGGGCACGCCAGGGCGGCTCTGCCCGGCTGCACGACCCCGTGCGCTCAGCGTCCAGCAGCGCACACCCAACACCCAGTGCCTAGCACCTCGCACCCAGCGTCCAGCACCGCGTACCCAGCACCGCGCACCCAGCACCCAGCTCCGCGCACCCAGCACCCGCGCGCCTGGTACCCAGCAGCCAGCGCCCAGCACCCGGCGTACCAGGGCTGACCCCCGGTGACACGCTGCGACGCCCCATCCCCGCCCCCGCCTCGCCGCACCCGGGGCCGGTTGCCGGTGTCCAGCTCGATCGCCCCGTTGGCCAGCTTCATGGCGCTCTGCAGCGGCTTCATCGCGCCGTCCCCGGCCGCAGCGGCCATGGCGCCCGGGCGAGGGGCGGGACGGGCGGCCGCGACGCGGAACGCAGGCGGAGCAGCCGCGGGGTCCGCCCGGGCAGCGGACGGCCGGAAACGACCCGCGAGCACTTCCGCAGCCCCGAGTTGGGGCGCACGGCTGGGGCGGGCCGACGGCTCGTGCGCGCCCGGGGATTGGCTGGCTGAGGGGTCACTCCAGACGTCGCCGGCGTCAGCGTGGACGCGCCCCCCGCCGGCGCCTCCCCAGTGGCCGCCGAGCTGCCAGGCCCCGCGCGTCTGGCGTCCGGTCGGTGAGAGCGCGGAGCGGACGGCGCCGGGACGCGGGCAGGTCGGGAGGGTGGACGGCGGGCCGAGCCGGGCGGGCGGCTGGGGAACGGCCGCCGTGGGGCGCCGGGGTCCCGGGTCGGAGCTGTCCGCCTTGGGCTTGGCCGCCCTCGGCCCGCGTCGGGGCCTGGGTCGGGGTGGCCGTGAGGCGGAGCGAGCCTGGACGCCGCTCTTGAGGTGGGAGGAGAGCCGGAGCTGCCCATCCGAGGTCCTGTGGCCGTCTTGTTAAGGTTGCTGACCACGGGCCCTCCAGGGCTTAGTGTTCTGCCGGGAGCTCCGTGCAGCGGGTGTGCGGCCCTGGGCCAAGGTCATCTCTCTGTGGGGGACCCCAGGCTGACTGACCGCTGGCTGAACGTCCCCTCTTGGTGTTGCCAGGGAGTGGCCGAGCCTTTGCCATGGGACACTGCCGCCTCTGCCACGGCAAGTTCTCCTCGCGGAGTCTCCGGAGCATCACCGACAGGTCGCCCGGGGAGGGTCCCGAGAGGTCGTGCCCAGGGCAGCGGGTCTTCATCAGGGACTTCCAGCGCCTGCTCGGAGTGGCCGTGCACCAGGATCCTGCCCTGAGCGAGTTTGTTTGCAGGAACTGCCATGCGCAGTTCTACCAGTGCCACAGCCTGCTGGAGTCCTTCCTGCAGAGGGTGAACGTCTCCCCGATGGGCCAGCAGAAGCTGTGTCCGAAGTAGGCAGTCCTTCAGTGATCCTCTGCTGTGGGGAACGCGCGTGGGAGTACTCACAGCTCCCGGGGAAAGACAGGAAAGAGTGATATAGGAGAGTAATGGGGTGGACATACTTACACGGGCTGTGAGTGTGATGCTGGGCAGGTGTGCACACAATGTGAGGCTGGGCAGGTGTGCACACAATGTGAGGCTGGGCAGGTGTGCACCAGCTATGTGAGGCTGGATGGGTGTGCACAGGGTGTGAGGCTGGATGGGTGTGCACAGGGTGTGAGGCTGGATGGGTGTGCACAGTGTGCGAGGATGGACGGGTGCCCACAGGGTCTCGGCCCCTCCAGGCTCAGCCTGTCCCTGACAGGTGCTTTGATCTGGTTTGGGTGACCCCCAAGAACTGCACTGTGTCTGTACCCAGACTTGGCCCTCGAGTGCGAGCAGATGCCAAAGCCAGCTTGGTCTGCTCCCCAAATCCGACCAGCAGGTGCTGCAACCTCCTTGGGAGAATCCTGAGGACCTCATAATTGCTCACCCGTGGGTGTGTCACTCATGTGCACTGCAAGTGCTGCAGCCTTCTTGTGACCGTGCAGAACCCCAAACAGCCCCTGCCCAGATCCAACCCTCCACACAGTGCCTGCCAGCCTCTGGCTACCCAGGTTATACAGGATGTGAACCTAAGGTGAAATGGGACTGGTTTACACAGCGTCCTTTTTTTTTTTTTTTTGAATTAAGACTTATTTATTTTTATTGGAAAGACAGATATATAGAGAGGGAGATACAGAGAGACGTTTTGGCTGCTGGTTCATTCTTCACGTGACCTCAGTGGCTGGAGCTAAGCTGATCCAAAACCAGGAATGCCAGTAGCCAGGAATCTCCTCTGGGTCTCCCACACCAGTGCAGGGTCCCAAGGCTTTGGGCCATCCTCTACTCTTTTCCCAGGCCACATGTGGTGAGCTGGGTGGGAAATGGAGCAGCTGGGACATGAACTGGAGCTCATATATGATCCCAGCACATACAAAGCCAGGGACCTTAGCTCCTAGGCTATCGCGGTGGGCCTCATCCCATGCTTTCCCAGGACATAAGCAGAGAGCTAGATAGGAAGTGGAACAGCTGGGACGTGAACTGGTGGGCATACTGTGTCCCAGCTCTAACAGGCATAGGATTAGTCTGCCATACTACTGCACTGGCCCCAGGACACTGAGTTTTACGTAAAGTGAGGGACAAGATTGCAGAGGCTTTGAGCTTGTGTAGTGACGTGGGTTACGTAGCCCGTGGGTGTGAGGTGGAGCGTGACAGCTGTACGCAGGCCCTGAGAGTTAAGACAGAATTATAGCGGCTCAGCCGAGTGGAGGAACAGGTTCATGGAATCTGATGGGCAGATTTGCACAGCTCTGCGTGTGGGTACTGGGCAGAAATGTGCAGAGTCACTGGGGACACAGGCAGCATCCCCCACGCACCTGAGCTCTTTACAGCTTGCAGCTCGCAAGCCTGGGAGCTTCCAAGGGCTCTCGCGGTTAGGTCAGTCTCGGCGGGGCAGGGGATTGGCAGTAGGAGGTTCTGGGTAGACAACTCCACAGGGGCTCCCATCACCACAGCCTCATGGTCTCACTGAATGTTTCAGGGTCGGTGCCCAGCCCCCGACAGGCCCGGAAGAGGCAGTGTTTCCAGGTGGGTGGCCTGTCCTGGTGCGTGTGTGAACTCTTGGGGCTGGGTGCTTGTAGCCCCGGGCTGACATCTCTGCTGACTCCTCAGGGGACCGCATCACCTCCAGCTCCTGGTGTCTCCACGGCTTGGTCGGGTGGGTGCATGGGCACGCGGGCAGCTGCGGTGCCCTTCCCAGCCTGCAGAGAACGCTGGCCTCTGAGTACTGTGGCATCATCCAGGCCGTGTGGAGTTGTGACCAGGGCCACACCTATACCATGGACACCGACGCCAGCTGCAGGGCCTTCCTGCTGGACAGCACCTTGTCAGTCAAGTGGGCGTGGGACAAGGAGATGGCTTCCAGCCCCTCTGGGACTGGCTCGCAGGTCTCCCAAGCCAGAGGGACCACCGTTGGGGTTGAGACCAAGACACTGCCCAGCATGGAAGTGGCCCCTCCTCCTCCAGATGGCAACCCTTTGGGACCTGGGCCAGGTCCCCCACCTCAGCCAAGCCCACGCCTCAGTGGGGCTCCAGGTAGGAGGCATGTTTGGCCTATGCTGTACTGGGATTCCGTTTTCCTAAGCAGCATGGGACATCTTCACTGTTCTGGTGCCCAGGGGGAGCTCACAGGACAAGACAGGAGCCCTTCTGTGCTCCTTGGAGAGCAGCAGACTCTGCTGGTGGTACCCGAGAGAGCAAGGGACGGCTGTCGGCCTGTCTTCCACTTGTTCTCCGCAGGCAGGACCCTGCTTCAGCCATTTGTAGAAGACACATTCGTCCTGTAAGCACGTGCTCAGGACCATGGGCACCAGTCCTTGGGGGCCAAGGAGAGGGAAGAAGGTGGTGGGAGGATGAGGCTGCTGCCTCGGCCCCCTGCAGGTCAGGTCCTGGGGTTAACCAGCTCCCTGGAGATGCCTGTGTGGGCAGTGTGAGCTGAAGCCAAGGGGCCTAGCGACCATGGGCTGTCCATCCACAGTCAGGTGCAGGGAGGATGAGACTGCTGCTTGTGAAGGCCATGGCCAGCTTTATGCTTGCCCCTGTGGCCTTCCCTGGGTATGCACCTGTCCACCTGTGGGAATTAAGCTGATTCCCAGCCAGGAGTTCTCAGGGGTCAGCTAGACAGAGGCAGGAAGGTGCTCTGCTCCAGGCAGGCATCGTGGACTGCTCGGCTTTACATGCTGTCGTGTGTGAGACAATGGTGGTTTTAAGCATGTCTGCCAACCGTGTATGCAGGGGACAGGTCATACCGAGATTTGAACCTGGAGGAATTAGGCTTGCCAATTGGACTGGGTGTCTGATCTTGGTGCTGCCTGTGTCTTTGGTGGGTGTGGGGACTATGCAAGATTTTGGCAGGGGCTGTCCTGGGAGGTGGTGGATTTGAGGCACAGGGTGTCAGTTTCCCCGTGGGGAGGGCCCCACTGTCAGACACCCCCTGAGCTCTGTGTGTGGTAACAGAAGCCTGTTCTCCGTTTCTCAGGGCAGTTGGGTGAGAAGCAGGTTCCGTCTCCAACCTCGGATGATCGGGTAAAAGACGAGTTCAGTGACCTTTCTGAGGGGTGAGAGAAGAGTGGGTTTCAATAGCCTAAAGTTTCTTCTTGGAACCAGTCGGCCATCCTGGGGCCACTGCCCGTGCCCTGCTCAGGGTGCTCACCCTGTGGTGGGAGGAGTGCAAGGGAGGGGCTGTTGCTTTGCTGACTAAGCCGGCGGTGTGGAAGCACTTTGCAGCACCCTGCGAGGCGTCCTTGGCTTCCACCTGCTGTTGCTCCCTCCGAGGCCCTAGTTCACTGCCAGAAGAAGCAGTCTGCAGTCCTATAAAATGAGCTTGTTGAGCTTGCATTGTAACTCTCAGCTGGAGGGGCCCTGGGCGGCCCCAGTCTCGGAGCGAGAGCTGCTGCCTGCTAGGCTGCCTTGCACACCTTCTGTCCTGCCTTGGGGATACAACCCAGGCAAAGAGAACAGCCAAGTTTGGGTACAAGCCTAGTGGGGTACCCGTGAGGAGACGCGTGGCTCTTGGCTGGCCTCAGCCAGCCAGCCAGTGTGAGGTCTTCCTTTAAGGTCCAGGGTGTGTGGGGCATGCAGTCGGCTTTGCTAGGCTGCTCCTTAGGCAGCTGCTTCTCCTGTCAGCTGTCTAGCTGCTCATGGTTACATGATAAGGCATGAGGGTCCAAGTGCAAATGTCAAGATGCTCGTCTCCTTGGGGAGTCTTTATTCCCTCCTGGGTACCACAGGCAGGCTGTTAGTGAGTCCACAGGCCATGGGGGATTGCCAGCTTGTTTGATTTCAGTGGCCCTGGCTTGTCCGTAGCAGGAAAAGGGATTGGAGATTTGGGGTCTTGGTCGTTTTCAGAACTGAGACATGGGCAGTGGGTTGGTGTGGCGCCTGAGGTGGGCGTTCCTACCAGGCGTTGCTCAAAGTTCTTTCTTCTTCCCTAGAGATTTTCTAAGTGAAGATGAAAATAACAAGAGTGAGCACTCTCAGTCCTCAGATACCCACACCGAGCCTCGCCCGGAGAAGAAGTAAGGGCACAGGGTGAGGGGGGCCTGCCTGCATTACACGGGGGTCAGGGGGTCACATGTATCACACGGGTCAGGGGGGTCAGCATGTAGTATACAGGGGTCAGGGGTCAGCATGTAGTATACAGGGGTCAGGGGTCAGCATGTAGTATACAGGGGTCAGGGGTCAGCATGTAGTATACAGGGGTCAGGGGTCAGCATGTAGTATACAGGGGCCGGGGGTCAGCATGTAGTATACAGGGGCCGGGGGTCAGCATGTAGTATACAGGGGTCGGGGGGTCAGCATGTAGTATACAGGGGTCGGGGGTCAGCATGTAGTATACAGGGGTCGGGGGGTCAGCATTAGTATACAGGGGGCCGGGGGTCAGCATGTAGTATACAGGGGTCCGGGGGTCAGCATGTAGTATACAGGGGTCGGGGGTCAGCATGTAGTATACAGGGGTCGGGGGGTCAGCATTAGTATACAGGGGGCCGGGGGTCAGCATGTAGTACACAGGGGCCGGGGGGTCAGCATGTAGTATACAGGGGTCAGGGGTCAGCATGTAGTACACAGGGGTCAGGGGTCAGCATGTAGTATACAGGGGTCGGGGGGTCAGCATGTAGTACACAGGGGGCCGGGGGTCAGCATGTAGTATACAGGGGTCAGGGGTCAGCATGTAGTATACAGGGGTCGGGGGGTCAGCATGTAGTACACAGGGGTCGGGGGGGTCAGCATGTAGTATACAGGGGTCGGGGGTCAGCATGTAGTATACAGGGGTCGGGGGGTCAGCATGTAGTATACAGGGGTCGGGGGGTCAGCATTAGTATACAGGGGGCCGGGGGTCAGCATGTAGTATACAGGGGTCGGGGGTCAGCATGTAGTATACAGGGGTCGGGGGGTCAGCATGTAGTACACAGGGGTCGGGGGGTCAGCATGTAGTATACAGGGGTCGGGGGTCAGCATGTAGTATACAGGGGTCGGGGGGTCAGCATGTAGTATACAGGGGTCGGGGGGTCAGCATGTAGTACACAGGGGTCGGGGGTCAGCATGTAGTATACAGGGGTCAGGGGTCAGCATGTAGTATACAGGGGTCAGGGGTCAGCATGTAGTATACAGGGGTCGGGGGGTCAGCATTAGTATACAGGGGTCGGGGGGTCAGCATGTAGTATACAGGGGTCGGGGGTCAGCATGTAGTATACAGGGGTCGGGGGGTCAGCATGTAGTACACAGGGGTCGGGGGGGTCAGCATGTAGTATACAGGGGCCGGGGGTCAGCATGTAGTACTCAGGGGTCAGGGGTCAGCATGTAGTACACAGGGGTCAGGGGTCAGCATGTAGTATACAGGGGTCGGGGGTCAGCATGTAGTATACAGGGGTCGGGGGGTCAGCATGTAGTATACAGGGGCCGGGGGTCAGCATGTAGTACACAGGGGTCAGGGGTCAGCATGTAGTATACAGGGGTCAGGGGTCAGCATGTAGTATACAGGGGTCGGGGGTCAGCATGTAGTATACAGGGGTCAGGGGTCAGCATGTAGTATACAGGGGTCAGGGGTCAGCATGTAGTATACAGGGGTCAGGGGTCAGCATGTAGTATACAGGGGTCAGGGGTCAGCATGTAGTATACAGGGGTCAGGGGTCAGCATGTAGTATACAGGGGCCGGGGGTCAGCATGTAGTATACAGGGGTCGGGGGGTCAGCATGTAGTATACAGGGGTCAGGGGTCAGCATGTAGTACACAGGGGTCGGGGGTCAGCATGTAGTATACAGGGGTCAGGGGTCAGCATTAGTATACAGGGGGCCGGGGGATAGTATACAGACTTGTGCTGCCTGGTTGGCGTCTCTTGGCTTACAGTTTGTGCCTTGGCCTAGTAATGCAAGTCCTGGGAGAGTGAGTGAGCAGGGCTGGCCAGCAGGTGGTTCCTCCAGGGCATTTCAGAGCTGTGGCTGAGTGTGAGGTGGTCACAGGCTGCGTGGGCAGTGTGGACGACAGGAGTTAGCAAGGCCTAGCTTTGTTCCCCTCTCCCAAGCCTGAACGCCCTGACAGTGCCTGAGCCCAGGCACCTGCTGCGTGCTGCCTGTTGGTCTGCTGCTGTGATGTGGTCGGCTGTGCTGTCCAGGTGGAATGCAGGGTCGTGGCTTCTGCTGTCACTCTCCTCTCAGCCCGTATGTCCTCCCTGGGTTGGTGGCTACCCTCTGCTCCTGCTGAGCCTTGCATGGTGCCGGCAGAGCTCCCAAGAGAAGCAGCCTGAGAACCACAGAGCAGATTGAGTTAAAGCTTGTTTTCTCAGGTCAGTTCTGACTGGGTTAGAGAGGAGGCACGGAGTGGGCAGAGGGATGTGCCAGGGTCTCCTGAGTGAGCCTGGTGGGCAGAGAGCCAGCTGGAGCCCAGGGGACGTGCCAGGTGGTCACAGACGTGTGGCTGGTGCTTCTGTGCTCCCTGGACCTCCCCCGGCTGTGCAGAGGCCTGGTCTACTGCCTAGCGTGTCTGTACTGTGGGCATACCAGGGCAGAGGCTGGGAGGGGAGCGACAGAGACAGGCTAGGGACAGGACAGAAGTGCCCCATACTTGGCTGTTCTACCTGCTCAGACGCCCAGAAGTGCTAGCGCAGAAATGTTCCTGCAGGAGGAACACACATGCTGACAGGCGCTGGGTGGACTGCGTTCTGAAGGAGGTGGGGGTGCTACCAGCCCTGGAGGCCACATCTGGAAGCCTGCCAAGACAGGGCCCTGAGCAGCCCCAGCTTCCCGGGTCCGGTTGACAAGTTGGCCTCTTTGATTCTCTCCTTTGACCATGGGGAGTTGGAGCAGGCTGGTTCCTCAGGCGACAGAGAGTTAGTGTCAGGGCGCAGAGGCCAGTGTCTGAGCCGCTCTTGGCACTCTGCATTAGGGGAAATGGTTCTTACCAACAGGGCTGTCCCAGCCAGCCGGGGAGGGCCACTGGCCAGGTCAGTACTTGCCAGCCTCTCCCCGCAGACGTGCACGGCAGTGGGGGTACCGTGATCACAGTGGCATTTCAGAACTCTAAGAGCCGGTGGTGACCTGGGGTATTTGCCATGTTGGATCTACGGCCGTTGACGCGAAGCCTGCTGCCAGGGCTGTGCAGCTGTTACTGCTCCACACAGTCTCCACACAGCGACTGTGCTGACCTTGACCTTCCCTTTCCTCCTCCCCCAGGCCCTGGCAACCGCTAAACTAGCTACCTGTTGTAGGTCCTTGATCAGGTAGAACCTGTGGCATCTGTGCTGTCCTGACTGGCTTCCTTCATTCCCATGGTGCCTTGAGCTTCATCGCCGCTGTGTCCTGTGGCTGAGCAATCATCACGTGGCTGTTTTGTTGATATGGTCATTTGCTGGCGTGGGTGTTTCCACCTTTGGCTCTTGTGATATGCCGTAAACACTGTTGCACGTCTTTGAGTCCCTGTTTTTAATTCTTTGGGCAGCAACCTAAAAGTGGGATTACTGCATCACTCAGTAAGTAATTTAATGTTTAACCTTAAAAAAATTTTTTTTTTCAAATTTATCTGGAAGGCAATGCAATGGAAATAGAGGCAGAGAGAGCATGTGAGAGACTTTCTGTTGACTGATTCATTCCCCAGATGCCTGGGCTGGGCCAGGCTGGAGCCGGGCACTCTGGGACCCAGCTGGCAGGCACCACCTGCTGCTTCCTGGCATGGATGTGTCAGGGGTTACCCCGCTGTGTCACACCTGCCTCCTCCCCTTGTGCTGGAATGAATACCTGGACGGCTAGGGCTGGGCTGGGAATCCTGGTCTCTTGTGACAGGAGCCCAGTGAACAGCTGGGTCCTCATCGCATTGAGGATGGGCTGGAATTCAGTCTCCCGTCACAGGTGCCCGCTCGCCATCTCAGTAGTGATGTATGGTTGGGGTGAAGTTACTTTTGCTGTTTTTTTCCTGACAGTTTTAGCTCTTAGATTTAGGCCATGATGTGCCGTGGTGGCCCAGCCTTTCTCTGGCCGTGAAGCGGGGAGGATGTGGTCTCTTAACTACTGGGCAGTCTTAGTGGGCAATCAGTAGCTCTTATGTGTCAGGGGTCTTTTTGGTTGGTTCTGATGCCCTGTGTGCCTGCCAACACCAGTAACATCCTTCTAATAACTATAGCTTTGTGGCGAGTCTGGGAAATGGAAAACTTCCATCTTGGTAGCTCTGCTTTTTCAGTTTGTAAATTTATACATAGAGGGTGGGGCCAAGCCGGCATCCAGGTCTTCCTGGCCCACAGCCTGCTGCCTCCCCGGGTGCACAGCACAGGAAGTGGAAGTGCATCCCAAGTGGAGCAGCTGGGCCATGGGCAAGGCACTAGAGGAAGAAGTGAAGGTCCCTAGTGGATGTGACCATTGCTGCCAACACCGCCTGCCCCACTGTGGTTGCTGCAGTGACTTCATCACATGGGCAGCCACATTAACGCCTGTCGTGGCCGTGAACGCAGGGCTGCCCTTGTGCCTGCTTCAGAGACTTCCTTACCTGAGCCTTTGCCTTTCGGCTTCATTTTGTTCCCATTTTGCTCCTGATGCTATTGCAAGTGCGTTGTGTTTCTGTGCCTCAGTCTCTGGAAGCACTGCCTTTACGCCACGCCCAGCCTGGCTAGGTCCTTACTAGGGCTCCCTCTGCATTTTCTACACGGAAGGTCGTGTTGTCTTTGAACATAGACTCTTTTCCTAATTTTCCCCTTTTCTTGCCAAATTGCTCAGCCTAGGCTTTTTAGCAATAGTGGTGTCCTTGGCTGTGTCCCGTTTGAGGGAAAGCTTTAAGTCTTTCCGTGGAGTACGCTGGCTGTGGGACTCGCTGCAGCCCGAGTCAGCTAAAGCAAAAGCCAGGGGTTTGGTCTCCGAGGACGTGGCCCAGGGTCATTGCGAGGGGGTAGAGGCTGGACCTGAACCAGGGCCTCTGATGGGGAATTGCGTGTCCCGCACGGTGCTAGAGGCTGTGCCCATGTCTGCCTTTTTCGTGTGGCTTTCCCATGCTGTTGGTGAAGTTGCCTCTTACAGTTTTTTCAAATGTCTGGACTCAAAAAGGAATGATAAGCATATTGACTCTGTAGGCGTCCTGGTAGACCTTTGCTGGTCCTTCAGGGATTTCCCAGACCAAATAAATTCTTGTAGAGGGCCCGTTGGCGTGGCCTAGTGGCTAAAGTCCTCGCCTTAAACGAGTTGGGATCCCATATGGGCGCCGGTTCTGGTCCCGACAGCTCCACTTCCCATCCAGCTCCCTGGTTATGGCCTGGGAAAGCAGTCGAGGACGGCCTAACGCCTTGGGATCCTGTACCTGCGTGGGAGACCTGGAAGAAGTTTCTGGCTTCTGGCTTTGGATTGGCGCAGCACCGGGTGTTGCGACCACTTGGGGATTGAACCATCAGACAGAAATCTTCCTCTCTATCTCTTCTCTGTATATCTGACTTTGTGATAAGAATAAATAAATCTTAAAAAAAAAATTCTTGTAGAACAAGGTCCCCACTGCCCACTCTGGCTCTGGCCTGCTGATCCAGGAACTCCGGTTGGCAAAGAAGGAAGGGGTAGGAGCCGGTGATGTGTGCGCAGACTCTGGGGGGTGAAGGGACTGGCTGCTAGACCACATTGGCCTGCTGTCTGCCACGCACCGCACCCCGAGACCTGCGCTGGTGTGGTTCTGGGTGGAATGGTAGCAAGTCTCAGAACGCTCCCTCAGCACGGCCCTTCCATTTGCAGGGTTTCCAGTAGGAAGAATGAAAGCAGAGAAGACACAAAGGCTGAAGAACCAAAAATCCGCAAGAAGCCTGGGCCGAAACCCGGATGGAAGAAGCAGCTCCGCTGTGAGAGGTGAGGAGTGCCGAGGGGGAGGGGGTCTGCCTGCTGCAGCACCCCCACACGAGCTGGGGAGGGGGGCCTGCCTGCTCACGAGCCGCGTGTTACAGGGAGGAGCTGCCCACCATCTACAAGTGTCCTTACCAGGGCTGCACGGCCGTGTACCGCGGGGCTGACGGCATGAAGGTGAGTAGCAGGACCGTGTGCCGTCTCAGGCCTGCTGGTCAACGTTGCCCTCAGCTGGCAGGGGGGCTTTAAAGCCAGGCCAGGGCTCCCTCTGTGCCCCCAGAGTCTGGTAGTTCAGAGTGAAGGGCTCTGAAGCTAGTGATGGGAGGGCCTCCTGGCTCAGCCCCCACCTGCTGAGAGACCTCTGTGTGTGTGGCCCCATCTAGAAGCACATTAAGGAGCACCACGAGGAGGTCCGAGAGAGGCCCTGCCCCCACCCTGGCTGCAACAAAGTGTTCATGATAGACCGCTACCTTCAGCGCCACGTCAAGCTGATCCACACAGGTACAGCCCAGAGACTGCGCTCTGGCCGTGCCTGGGGGGCCGTGCCTGGGGAGGGGTTTCCGGCATTCCTAGGAGCGTCTAGGATCACAGTTTATACCAGCGGTGTAGGCTGGAACGTGCAAGTGCGAACTCACTTGGCTTTCTGATGGACGCAGGTCCTGGCTGGAGACTAGGTTTGAAGTAATTTGTCAAAACTGACATTATTCTTCTGTGTTTATCTGGTTTTTTTTTTTCTTTTTAAGATTTATTTATTTTTATTACAAAGTCAGATATACAGAGAGGAAGATCTTCCATCTGATGGCTTACTCCCCAAGTGGTCGCGATGGCAGGTGCTGTGCCGATCCAAAGCCAGGAGTCAGGAACCTCCTCCAGGTCTCCCACATGGGCGCAGGGTCCCAAGGCGTTAGGCCGTCCTCGACTGCCTTTCCAGACCACAAGCAGGGAGCTGAATGGGAAGTGGAGCTGCCGGGATTAGAATCGGCGCCCATATGGGATCCTGGTGCATTCCAGGCGAGGACTTTGGCCACTAGGCCACCGTGCTGGACCCAATCTGTCTTTTCAAAATACTATGGAAATTATGAAGCATAAGCCCAGGAAGATAGTGCCTTTAAATCCTACATGGCCTAAAACGCCTTCAGCATTTGAGAGGCTGTTAGAGTCCATCCAGAGCTAGACCAGTCCAAAACCTGGAGCCTCTTTCAGGTCCAAGCACTCGGCCATCCATCATTTGCTGCCTTGCCAGCTTCACCTGCAGGGAGCTGGATGGTATGTGAAGCAGCCAGGACTCAAACCAGCCCTACGGGCAGGGGCTCCACCCACTAGGCCATTTGGAAGGGAGGTTTTTCTTCCACTGTCCACTCAATTGCCTGTTGCATGGCTAGGGTCTCCCACAGGGCTGGTAGACATTGGACTGGAGGTGGAGTGGGACCCGATCTCGGGTACTTGGATGTGTTGATGCAGGTGAGCCTTCCTGCGTTGGACTGTCCCTGCTGAAGCCAGTGGGGAGGTGCAGACTATCGGCCAGGTGCGGTGGTGGGAGCAGCTCTTTCTCAGGCACGAGACGTGTGGCTGTGTCGGGTGCGCTGTTCCTCAGGCACCGTCGGCTCTGGTTTCTGCAGCCGTGGAGAGAGCGCAGGTCCAAGACCAGCGCTGGGTTTGGCAGTATTGGTAAAGCCATCTGCACTCCCAACAGCGGACCCCTCATCCCTGCTCCTCACGGACATATGTGTTTGTTCCCTGTGCCAGCCACACGACAGCTGGGATGAGCATGGCCAGACTTCCCGTGATCCACTGTGGTGCATTATGGTGCCCTGGCTGCTATCTGAACCAGCTCCCTGTTAACATGCCCAGGATGCAGCTGGCGACAGTTCTTGCCCTCATGTGGGAGACCAGGTGGAGCCCCTGGCTTCAGTGTGGCCCAGCAACCTAAGCTGTGTGTGAGAATGCAGATTAAAGGGCACACGTGTCCCATAGTTCGGGGTTCGGTCCTACCCCTTTATAGCTTGTTGCCAATGAGCCTAGGGGCAGAGGGTGAATCTGGCACCTGGAACAGCGTAGATCTGCTATGAAAGCACACGGACTCTTCAAGGGGAAAGGCAGACACGGTTTCCAGCCACTTGCACTTGAAGCCTTTATTGGAGCAGTGTGTTACAGAGGTCCCTTGTTACTTGGGCACAGCTCAGTGCAAGCCGCCCTCCCACACTCCTATCTCGCAGAGGTTCGCAACTACATCTGTGACGAGTGCGGGCAGACCTTCAAGCAGCGCAAGCACCTGCTCGTCCACAAGATGCGCCACTCGGGCGCCAAGCCTCTTCAGTAAGTGCAGGCTGGGCAGCTCCTTTGGGCCACGCCTGGCAAATCCTCCTCACCCTCCTCTCTCTCCCAGGTGTGAAGTGTGTGGGTTCCAGTGCAGACAGCGGGCATCACTCAAATACCACATGACCAAACACAAGGCAGAGACTGAGCTGGACTTTGCCTGTGACCAGTGTGGCCGGCGGTTTGAGAAGGCTCATAACCTCAACGTGCACATGTCCATGGTCCACCCCCTGACCCAGACACAGGGAAAGGCAGAACCTCGTCCTACACCGCCGGACCCCTCTGGGACCAAGGAGGGCCAGACTGTGAAGCCAGAGCCCACCTGAGGACGGAAAGGGGTCTCAGTGGAGCAGCCTGAAGGCGGCAGGAGTGATGGTGGACTCCGCACGGTACCCCAGGGTGGATGGCTCATGCCCCAGAAACCTGTCCTCTGTGTACCCCATGGCATTTGCAGTGGGAGACCAGTGTTTGGTTTCCCTTCAAATACTGTAGTCTCTTGGGCACCAGACTAAATCAGGTTTGTAATCCACTTTGTAGTGCAACACTGGCTCCGTCTTGTGCTTGTAATAAATTATGTGCAGAGGAGCTGGGCAGCATGCACTGGCTGGTCCAGTCAGGAGAGACGGGGCTGCTGGTAGAGGTCAGGCTCGGGCGCAGCCTGCTGCCTCCCGCGAAGGGCCATGCTCAGCTCTGGGTCGCAGTCACCTCGGTCTGCCAGCAGCTGTGAGGACATGCATGTGTGCAGGTGCAGGGTGGAGCCAGCTTGTGTTTTGTGGAGAATGGCCCCTATTGCTGTCCCCCCACAGGGCCCCAGTCTCACCTCTGCCACGGCAGTGAAGCTCTCCTCTGGACACTGAGGGATGAGCTGCAGCAGGAACCTGCGGGCCCTTGTAACCACCTGTACAGGATGGTCCTGAAGGATGTGCAGGTGCAGCCATGGGTCAGACCTTAATCCCATACCACCAGGCGGGGCCCCTGTGTTGGGAGAGCCTACCTGGTCCTTGAGCTCCAGGCTCCTGTGGGTCAGAGTTCCTACAGTACCAGTGTCCCCGGCCACAAAGAGCTGGACCAGCTTCAGATACATGTCAACAGCCACTCGCAGGAAGACAGCCTCCCTGGTGGCTTCCTTGAAATAGGGGAGGAGGCTGGGGCAGAGACAAGGGACAACAGCTGGCAGCAGCAGGGGAGGGTGTCTGTTCCCCGAGCTCCTGTGGCCCTGTGGGTGGGCTTACCTGTAGAAGGCCAGCGGCAGCAGCCTGGTGTACTGCTCAGGGGCTGTGCGGAAGAGGAGGCGTCCCAGCCCAGTCTCTGCAACATTGCGGGTAGAGGGAGTCCCTCAGTTCTGTGTCGGGGGCTGCCCAGGGATGAGGGGATGGTGCAGGTCGGGAGTGGGGGCAGGGGGCAGCAGCACAGGGGAGTGTGACATCAGCCCACTGAAGAGTTCAACCTGGAGGTGGGGTTCAGTGGGTGACACCCCTGTCCCCCCACCATGACAGGCCCACTGGGCACTGCCAGCCCTGCTAAGTTCTTACTGAATTTATCCCTGGCTGCTACAAGCTTAGCCAGGGATAGACTGAAAACTGAGCTTGGGAACTGTGGCCCAGTGAGGACCATGTCCGGGAAGGTCCAGCCATGCGCTGTCCCCGACAGGGTCTTACCTGCGTCTGTCCACTGGAAGAGCCCCAGCCAGGGTATTCCCCTCTGCTGCAGACAAGCCAGGATCTCTGCACTGACACCCAGAGCCCGCAGGGAGTTGGCAATGCCCTGTGACCCACGGGGAAGAATGAGAGGCCCACCTGAGCGCCGCTCACCTTCCTCAGCTGCCACCCCAGTGCACAGGGTGCCCTGTGTGGGGGCCCCCCGTCCAAAGGGCAGAGTGGCTCCACCAGATTCTGAGACAAGTCGTGGCAGGGAGTGACAACTCACGTTTGGGGTTAGATGGGAGGAGAGCAGGCCCAGCAAGGAGAAGAAGAAAAAGGGAACCAGCAGCTGCAAATGAAGACACCTTCAGTGAAGATCATGCAGCACCCCTCCCACAGCCTGCAGCTGGAGCCCCAGGCAGGACCAGAAGGCCCTTCAGTGGGGTCTCTGCCAGCGGGAACACAGGCTTGGGCCTACAGGCCCTGGCGCCAGCACAGCTTTTCACACAGACAACCTTGGGTCCCTGCAGCCTGGTGGCAGACACACCCTGTCTTCTCAGGGGTCCCTCACCTGGTCTGCCACGCTCCTGCTCAGCGTAGGGCCTGAGCTGCAGGTCCAGAGCAGTGCTGGGAACCAAGGGCAGCCGCCCCCACGGCTCTCCTGCCTGGCCCTGCTCCGAGCTCTTGGCATGTGTGCCTCACTAGGGGTAAGGCTGTGGCAACGTGAACACTCAAAGGGCCACTCGATGGCCATGAGCAGAAAGCAGCTGGGCGGAAGTGTTGTACTCTGCTAAAATCTGTTTCCTCAGTTGTACTTCCAAAACCTTGCACTTGTCCTGGAAACACCTAGACAAGCTTTGAGAAGTACCTGGTGAGGAAGGTGGCCCGTGTGCAGCATGAGGCTGATGCCCAGGTACCTGCACCCTGGGTCAGGCACGCCCCGAGCTGCCAGCTTCCTCAGGTGCACCAAGGTTACCAAATAACCTCATGTCTTACCTCCTCTTGCGTTTCCCAGCCCACCTTCTTGAGTAGACTCCCGATGTCATCTTCGCCCACTTGTGTGATGGCCAAGTGCAGGGCAGCTGCAGAGAGCCAGGCAGGGCTAGGTGGAGATGAGGTAGGGCCAGGGGAGAGGAAGCTGGGAGAACAGAAACATGTCCCCTTAGGCCTGCTGCCCCCCTTACATTTGGGGCAACGTGTAAACGGATGCAGCAGGCAGGGGCCTAATGGTCAGAACGGGGATATGGGTTCCGGGCTGCGCAACATCTCCGCTCTCATGAGCCTGGCCACTTGGATGTGGAACACGGCAGTGGGCGCCGCTTGCCCCCACATCACAGTGCTACTCAGTGTACAGACTTGGCTGCACTTGTGGTCCAGTTTCTTGCTGATGGCCTCTGGGAGGGAACAGAGGGCCAGCTCTGGTCCTGGGGTCCCTGCCACCCACATGTGAGGACCTGAACTGGGTTCTAGGGTCCTGGGAATGAGCCAGGAGATGGAAGACCTCTGTGTTTCACGCCACAGCCTAGCGGCTAAAGTCCTCGCCTTGAACATGCCGGAATCCAAATAGGTGCTGGATCTAATCCCGGCAGCCCCTCTCCCCATCTGGCTTGTGGCCTGGGAAAGCAGTTGAGGACGGCCTAACGCCTTGGGGCCCTGTACCCATGTGGGAGACCTGGAGGAAGTTCTTGGCTCCTAATTGGCATGGTGCTGGTCACTGCGCTCACTCGGGGAGTGAATCATCGGATGGAAGATCTTCCTCTCTGTCTCTCCTCCACACTGTATATCTGACTTTCTAATAAAAATAAATAAATCTTAAAAAAAAAAAAAGTATACAGGGAAACAGCAGAAGGTTTGGGGAGCACAGAGCTGGCTGTAGGACCCCCTCACCCGACATGGACTGGTCCTTTGGAGGAACCTAGGGAACACGGGCACATCCAGTGCGTCTGCCTGGGGTCCCCAGGTAGGCTGTGAACCTGCCTCACCCTGGCCAGACCTAGGCCCCTGGGAGCCCCTGTACCTCCCTCCCTCAGAGCCTGCTGAGGCAGGACCCTGCCCTGCCCTGCCTTCCTTACTTGCTGGCAAACTGCTGGACCTCCTGCAGCTGCCTCAGCTCCTGGGGCAGCGGGTCCTGGAAGGATTTCCTCCACTGGTCACACAGCACAGGCTCCAGGCTTGACCACCACATCTCATGGGAAGAGACCACCAGGAAACAGATTAGGGGTGGCTGTGACTGGATATGCCTGCAGCTGCCACAACCATGGAAAGGCAGATGACATGGGGGGCTCAGGCTCAGTGATCCTAATGACAACGGCATCCCTCTGGCCCTGCCATGAGGCGCTACAGACTTTGCAACAGAAGAGAAGGCCTAGCTCAGGGAGGAACCCTGGGAGGGTCCCCCCTCTGGACTTGGTTGTCCCACAAAGTGGGCGTGCCCACTGGAGGAAAGGGACCACTCCCCTGGAAGTTTGTGGGAGAAGTGGTGCAGGAACAGCTACCTCTGCCACACCCTCACCCCTAGAATGGAGACAGGACAGCTAAACTTAAAAAGAGGGGAGTGTGTGCACGGTGCACCCCAGATGGGAAGAGTTAGACCCTGGGTGAATGCCAGGAGGGTGTGGGTAAGGCTGGGGTGAAGCTTGCCCACTATATCACCCGTTTCTCAAATTCCAAGTAGGACAGAGCCACAGTGGGACAAGAACAGCCCCCACTCAGCCCAAGAAGATGGCCGAACCTACCAGAGCAGAGGTGAGAAGGATGGGGCATTTGGCTTGGCACTCCGTCAAGGTCAGGTTGGCCATCAGGGCGGGGTCTCTGCTGTGGGCACACGCACGGAAGAGCCCCTGCGAGAGATGGGCCTGGGGAGCTCAGCAGTTCTAGCCTGAGGGCTCTGAGGCCGCGAGGGCCGAGGGGACTGCCTACCCTGAAGAAGTGCAGCGTCATGTCCTGAGTCAAGGCGCCTCCATGGCAACAGAAGTTTCTCTGGAAAGCAGTTCCATGGAGCTGGTTATGCAGCCGTTGGGGCAGGACAAGAGCAGCCGCCACCAGCAGCCCCCCGGGCACCCCAGCATCCACCTCCCCTAGACATAGCAGAGCACCCTCCATTTGCTCTTCTGTGCAGGCAGCAGCCGAGATGTGCTAAGGCCAGCACTGCCATGGCTGGCCACGGGGCTCCCCACTCTCCTTGCACACCAGACACTGTGCTGGTTTGCCTCTCAAGGCCTCCATATGCCACTCAGGGACCAGAGCCACTTTCAAAGCTTTGGCAAATCATTGTTACCCTTCAAAGTGCTACGGACCCTAAGTTCAAACACCAGCCACATCTGCATTTTTTAAAATACGGAGAGGACCTTCAGCTGTAGGCGCTACCAGCTGGGCTCTGCCACCTCTGGTGTTTGTTAACATCGAGGCACACCCAGCAACGCTGAAGTGTGGCTGTCACTTCTCTTTGCAGCACCAGGGCAGCGATCACAGCCTCAGGCATGGAACAGGAAGCAGGAGCCACCAGGTCCAGAGGAGGGGGCATGGAGCGCGTGCACCTACCAGGTCCGAGTTGACCAGATGGAAGAACTCCTCACAGGCAAGGGGGATGGGCTGCTGAGCCTGGAAGTTGCCAACAAGAATAGAAGGAGGCAGGCGGAGGAGCACCCTTGGAGAGAGAGGGCCATGTCGGAGATCCTTCCTGGATCAGGGATCAGCCAGCACCTGGTCTGTGGTGCTGCTGTTCCTGCCAGGTTACACTGAGCACGTCAGACTCTGTTCCATACACAGATGCTGTGCACATGCAGAGCTGTGCCATGTGCACAGCACTCCAGGGGGTAGAATGCAGTAACTCCTGTAACTAGAAACCATTCCATACGATACAAGGACTGCAGTGGGGTGAGCGCTGTGGCACAGCAAGCTAAACCTCCACCTGTGGCACCAGCATCCCATCCAGCTCCCTGCCTG